CTCGTTAGTTCTGGTACCGGTTTGATAACCGAAGGGCTCGTTATATCTTGGGGGAAATTTCCGTATGCCGGAAATAATTCCTTAGGACAGCGTCTAACGCGTCTCGAGCCACTAATATACTTTTAGTTCTTTTTAGTGATTATTTTGCAGGTCAATTATCGGAGCTAGATAGTCAACGAGGTCAATTTAGAAGCAACACGGTCAACACGTTGATTTTGGAAGGATAGAGCCAACAATCTAAGGAATTACTGGCAAACTAAAATTACACCTACGGAACAGTCAACTATGACAAGTGACACCAAAAGTATGGATGCATTTCTAGCTCCCAACGATGCTCAAAGTTGTGGTATGTTTTTTTTTTTTTGTAGCCTTTGTTCAAATGGTGATTTCTTAGATAATGAATTCTTTGGGGAAAATATTCACCAAAATAAAGTGTAAACTTTTTTGGCGGTGAATATAAAATTATTGCGGTTATTTTTTTTAAAATTGACTAGTAATTTTTTAAAATTGACTAGTAACTGATGTGAATGAATAAGTGATAGATTTTGAGGCTATCAAATTCATTTGTGAATGCAAAAATGTTTTTCCTCCTATCATCCAATAGGGGATGACGAATTAGAGGTTTCATTTAAATTCACATGAGAAAAACGGTTATGACTAATGGAAAATAATGAGCAAATTATGAGCAAGTTTCTTTTTGCCAATCAAATTAGTGAGTGAAATTTTACTTTTGTCAATTCACCTGATATTTGTAATATGTGACATATTACATTATATTATGTAATGTTAATTTTCATATTTTAACAGCTAAATGACCTGAGTTTAAAAATATTTATTGTTATTACTCGGTATTTTTCCTTTCTTTTACGTTGAGAAAATTTATCGTCTTCCCGACAACATTAAATGTTATGGGTCTTCAAAAACTGTTGAATTCTCAGAATTTGGTGCGGCAGTTACATTGGAGCTTTATAACGGTTTTATTTGTCGCTGCTATCAAATGAATCACTTAACTATTACGGAGTATTTTAATGTCCTTGTACATTCACTAGTGTGTTGAAATATATATATCTGGATATATGCATGGTGTCCGAAAGTGATTACTTGCTGCTTTTGAAGTGCATGCCGTGATTAAAAATATACATATTTATTTACCTAAATTTGTGAACATCTTGATAGACTCTGAATGTGTATAGTGGAGGTAGATAATTTATAAGTTATATTTCATCTATAAAATTTGTAAAATGTTTGGTGAATCGATATAAGTTTTATTAATATATTTGTACGGTGATTAGAAGTTGTGGAAGATTTCATGTTACATTTATTGGTGACTTTTTGAGATTAAAAAAAAAATATTTCGTTAAATTTGAAGGCAATTTCTAATAAAATATTGGTGTACAAATAAAGATTGAGATAGATATTATCTCAATAAAAATATCTTATCTTCCTGTGAATTTTAGAAGAGTTATGCAGCTGTTTTTGAAACATTTTAAAATTGTGGGGGTGTTTATCTAAATTTTAATTACCCATTTGATTGAGTTTTATAACCTAGCCTTTAGCCACTCTTTGCATAAACTGAAATAGTGGAGCATATATATGATTTTCTTAAATTGAATAATTAGTGTGCCGGTGTGCAATACTTTAAGCTATATTATTGTTGATATTAATGTGATTTATTTTTGAAGAATGTGAACACACTAAATGATGCATGTGTGATTATTTGTTTATATGTTGCTTAAATTTTGTATGCTTTTCAGTAGCTATATTGAGTTGATATATGAATATAGTAAAAGTAATTTTTGGAGTATTATATTAAAGCCATAAGGAAGGATTGTGGTAATTTACTATCATCATTTTGAAAAACTTCTTAAGAAGTTTGATATTTCAATGTTAAAATGTGAATATCCCTTATGACTTTGATATAAATAAAAACAAAAATGTGAGTCTGTTACAATTAAATGTGTGTGACATTTCATAATTTTAAAATGCTGGAATTGAAGATTGAGCCAATATATGAAATTCAAATGTGATGGTTGAGATACCTTAAGTTATTGAGATATTCGAGAGATATCATTAATTATGGTTCAGATTATCCGTTGTAATATATTGATACTACGATGATATGTTTAATTGAGAAATATCCGTTGTACTAGAGAGGTACAACGATGCTATATATGAGAATTATTCATTGTACTATGATGATACAATGATGTTATATATTATATTGAGAATTATCTGTTAGGATACAACATATTATTGAAATTATCTGATGTACAAAAGTGTCACATCGATGCTAAATCTTGTTGAGAGTTATCCGTTGTATTGTCGGGATACAACGACGCAATCTGAGTCGACTCGCATGAGATAAATTAAAATAGTGGATATCCATTCACCCTTAAAAGTGGTGCAATGATGTTTGAGAATGGAATTATATCCATTAATTTTGTGAAGGAATTAGCTACTCCTTTGACAGAATCCCTAGGACGTTAAATGATTAATTTAAACATCGAGGGAAATGGACTAATGTCACTTTGACAACAAATAGGGATGGGAACCCAACTTGTGTGATTGGAGATCCCATGAAGCAAGTTCAAATGGGTAATAACAAATCTTCTATTTGTTCTGCTAGCCTTGTAAAATGTCCGTTTCTATGGTGTGGAAGGCTAGACTACATTTGCTTGTGAGGTTGAGCTAAAACTCTTAATGATAGTCGTCATAGCCCTTACAGGTGGTGTGTTAAGTGTGGGACACACTTGATGAGGTCACCTATATGAGTGAGAGGTGGGGCCGCCTCCATGTAGCATTGACAACGCTTCTAGAGCACTCAAGAAAACCAAGCACGCGCACGGCCTAGAGGCGCACTACGGCGTTAACGACGAGAAAGGTGGGGGTGAAAAATGATCCCCTAAGACACTGACTTACCAAAGTAGATTATTGGTTCATAGAAACTATACGTTTCACCAATAAACTCGGTATTTAAAGACTTAGGCGTCTAGGTCTGGTTCAAGTCTACGAACACCAGATTGAAAAACCTCACCCCATATATGAAACCCAGTAAGGAATTATTAATTTTAATAAATAGAATATTCATTTGAAATAGTGGGGGATTGTTGGAAATTTTGGGGTATTTCAAATGAATAAGTTTTTCAATTATTTTTCTGGGAAATTTTATCACGACTTTAAAAACCATTTTACCCTACCATTTGTGAAGCCATTACTAAACGTTAAACAATTAACTTAATATATGAATTTGGCTAAACTTTTTCTAACGTTGGGCGTCATTAGGAGTTAATACAAAAACGTTTTGTATCATTGTTCATTATTCCTTAAATGCCTTTAATACTACATAATTCATACTTTAATTTCATTAAAGTTTATATGGTGACCCTTTAGTAACCTACGACGTTCGGTTCATTGTGTATTTGGACATATATATACTTGGCAGAATAGACATACATGCTTGCTGGAGACTTTGCACTCATTCTGCTTATTGAAAAGGGAAAATGGGTTATGGGTGTTGTGGGATTACAAAGAGAGAAGGCTACGTACCACCTTCATATATGCCTTAATTTTCTATAGATGAAAAAATATTTACGGTGAAGTGCGTATACAAGTATACAACAAATTAACCATCAACTCTATTACTGAGTTCATATACTATTTTCTTCTCGTTAGTTCTGGTACCGGTTTGATAACCGAAGGGCTCGTTATATCTTGGGGGAAATTTCCGTATGCCGGAAATAATTCCTTAGGACAGCGTCTAACGCGTCTCGAGCCACTAATATACTTTTAGTTCTTTTTAGTGATTATTTTGCAGGTCAATTATCGGAGCTAGATAGTCAACGAGGTCAATTTAGAAGCAACACGGTCAACACGTTGATTTTGGAAGGATAGAGCCAACAATGTACACTAATATTGGAGTGTACTACGCAGCTGGCCCTGTCCTTAAGGGTGACATCTTTGACGGTTCATTGGCAGTGCGGCGTTTGGAGAATCGGATGATTGAGTACCACACGTTCCAACCACAATATGCAGTGTCTTTAGTTGTTAGAAAACAACTTATGGAGTTTGATGTTGGGCTCTATGAGTACTTCACCTAGTATAAAGCCATAGGCACCTTCATGAGTGTGTAATACAAGTCAAATAAGGGAAAGAAGATAGAGAAGGAAGTGCAAGAGGCTGAACAGAAGAAACACGAAGTGGAGACCCCTGATGTTAATTGATTAATTAACCACAGACTATTAGAGTTTGGTGTTGGTTCTTTGATCTATGGCTATTTTTTTTTTGTTTCTAGAGTTTCTATTTGTTTGGCATCGGTTCTCATTTTTTTTTTACTTGTGGGTGTGTGAGTGATGTGGGTGGCTTTTCAATTTACATTAGAGGTCAGAATACTAGATTGGACTAATACATGTTTATAAAATTTGCCACATTTTTTGTGTTCATATAGTTCATTTTATTTTATTTCGTATTTTTGTAAATAACTATGTATTCAAATATTGTATTCATATTACTCATATATTTACTCAACCTAAATCAAGAAATTAATGTTCCTACAATGGCCTTGGGCATCACCATGAACGTGCAATGCGCGTTACTAAACTAGTCAAAACAAATAAGGTTGAAGTTATTTTTCTGGTTGAATTGACTGAAATTAATAATGACTATTTTAGCTATTTTTCATTCTATTTTTTCTTTATTTCACAAATTTCAATATAATCATCCAATTTGGTTAATTAAGTGTTATCAAATGGACTCTTATTAGCCGATGAATCCAATCGGAGTCAAAACAATCAATATTTTTTGGCTGATCGGCTACCAATTGTGTGAAGTAATGGAAAAGTATACTCCAATAAGAGCCTCGTTATATATATATATATTTAAAAATAGTTGTCAAAATACAAATATTTCTAAATACTCCGTAGATATTAGACTAATAGATACGGAGTATTAGGCTATTAAATTGTACACGATAAAATAAATTTGAAATTAGAATGACACCTGGACGCATATTCAAACACACACGCAACCACTTTGCTTAAAGAACACTCACCGCCAGCCCATAGCAGAGGAGGAACATATAACAACTCACAACTGCTAAATCCATCAAATTGATTTCTTCCTCTTCTCATATCTGAAATAAAATACTCCGCATTGTAGAAGTTATATCCTCAGATCTCAGAATATATTCCTGTAAATTAGATTATTGGCTTCTTCATTTTCCAATCAGCAATGGCCGCAGATCCTGCTTCTTCTTCTTCTTCTTCCTTGAACGCCTCTGTCTCCCATGGTGGTATGTATGCTAACTTTATCGGGTTTTTTTTTTTCTCATTATTTTCTCAATATATCACTTAAGTACTTCAGGATTTGTCATTTCCGTTGTTCAAATAATTGAATTGGTTGAATAGTTCATAGTTTTTTTTATTCAAAAAAGTATGATTGATACGCAGGAGCAGGAAATCCTGGCGATGAGATCTCTCCTCTCCAAAAACATGCCATGTTTTTCGATATCAACGGGGATGGACTTGTTTATCCATCGGAAACTTATAAAGGTTTCAATTTATTTACTCTTATTATTGCTTTTATAGTTTCGTACATAGTACATATTTTCAGTCCCCAGTTCATCGCTGCAAATAATAATTTCCAAATTTTCCAGAACAGTTCAATTGCACCTATCAATTATCTCATTCTTGTTTCGATAGAAATAAATAGTTGATAGCAAGCGTTATCCCGCCTGAAATTCAATCGGCTCAATTCAATTAGAATGTTTTATGGTTTAAATTGAACCGAAATTTTCTAGTCTAGTCTAGTATAGTGTGTTTAAATCAGTTCTGATATAGTTTAGTCCAATAAATATCTGGTGTATATGTATTTTATAACTATCGAAATTTGATCTAATCTGATTTGTTTGCGGGTCTGATCTGTTTAAGTTTGAGCTTGTCTATTCTAATCTGATCCGGGGTCGAAACATCCGTAGTTGTTTCTGTAGCATAGGGCGACCCCTCATCTGAATTTATTTATGATAAAACGATGAACAGTACTTTGTATACTCGTTCGGTATCATTGGATAGATTTGGCTAACTTTACTTTTCGATTGCTAAAATACTTAGTCACTTTCTAATCGATTAGTCACCTTCTAATCGATTAATTTGTGGTTCCAATCATTTAACTAATTTCTCATATGTATAAACATCAATTATACATTTTTTCTTTCTTATTTCTCACTTAATTTATTGTTGACAAAAGTCAACCAAGATGGAAATAATACTTAGTATTACTCCTTCCGTCCCATTTTATCTGTTCTATTTTTCTTTTTGGATTGTTCCAAAATAAGTGTCTTTTTCCCTTTTTACAAAGAAATATGCGCTATTTCACTTTATTGTACACAAATATCAATCATTACTTTTATTTTTTCAACCACTACATTAATAATCGTGTCAAGTCAAATTAAGATACGTAAACACGGGTAGTATATTTTAAGATCAGGATAGGATTCCTCTCACGCAAGAAGTTATATCAAGAAGAGATATGGATCGGAGTTGATAGTATGTAGGTAGACAGGTAGTGCAGCCGTATCTGGTACGGAAAATAAAATAATACGCCTTTTTTTCCAATTGTTTATAGATCTATACTCCCTCCGTTCTTTAATAAAAGTCCTTCTTTCCTTTTTGGGACGTTTTTTTTATTTGTCCTCCTTTCCATTTAAGGAAAGTTTTTACTTTAAATATACCTTTATACCCCACTTTTATTACCATTACCCCTTTCTCTTTCCTACTTTTTCATTTACCTACTACTCATTACACCTTTTACACTACCCCTACTATTTTCCTCTTAAAACCCGTGCCAAAGCCTAAGAGGACTTATATTAAAGAACGGAGGGAGTATGAGAGTTGGTTTGATATTAAGTTAACAACTATTACTCCGTATTGTTTACTTCAAAAAATTGCTGTAAATAAGAGTAAAAACAATTACTAGGTACATTATAAGATTAATGTTTTATTCATTAAATAGGAATACCTACTACGGAGTATTATATTTTGACATTATCAGATTTTAAATACTCCCGATGTAATATGTTTAACTTTGATGATAAGCGCTTCTATTTACAGAATAAAAAAAGAATAGGCTTATTTTGGAATTCCAAGTACTCTAAATGCATGTTTGACAGACATAAGTCTCTGGGTTCTAGCTTTTGTATTGTTAAAAAAGTCTCTAAAATCTTCTAGTTGGATGTTAGGCATAACAAATTTTAAGAGCTTTTCAAAAATTAAAGAGAAATTGTCAAATAGGTCGTCGAACTTTCATAAAAAGGTCAAATAAGTCCTTATATAAAAGGCTCTGTCCGGCCGTCGCGATTTGGGGCGGTTCCTGGTGGAATTTTTTAATGAAAATTTTTGAGCATCTTATTCATCAAGACTAGTTTACTCATAAAACATTTAAGCTAAAAATTCGATCAGGAACACATTCAAATTAATTTTTTAAGATAACTGCGCATTTAACTGCATAGTTATCTTCAAGAATTAATTTGAAAGCGTTTCCGATTGAAGTTTTAGCTGAAATTTGGTATGAGTAGACTAGACTTGATAAATAAGATGCTCAAAAATTTTAATTAAAAAAATCCACCGGGAACCGCCCCAAATCACGACGGCCGGACAGAGTCTCCTATATAAAGATTTATTTGACCTTTTTATGAAAGTTCGAGGACCTATTTGACAGTTTTCCCAAAATTAAAAGATCTTTTTTGAGATGCCACCGAGAGTAGAATCTAAGAAAAGCCCATGACTTTTAGTACTCCCTCCGTCCCGCTATGATTGTCCCATTTTACTTTTTCGGTCCGTACCATTAAGATTGTCTCATACCTTATTTGGTATAGTTTGTGTGGTTCTAAATGATTCTACTTTATTCTTACTTTATCAATTCAATATCAACCACATAAATCCACTTTTATTAATAACCGTGCCACCTTCTCTTGTTCCAAACTTAGGGGGACGGATGTAGTATTAATTAGTCCTAACAGTTTGTATATCAAACCAAATTTAATCAAACAATCGGCTTTTAATCAAATAACTATCATCTTTTCTTTTTAAGATCTTGAACCGTTACTAAAAAGTTCACAAAAAAGTTAATCTAATAAATGAGTTATCTATGTTGGAATTGATTTTCCAATGAATGAATTATACATATGCGTACTCTATCACTATCATACGAGTAATACGGAGTAGCTAATAAGACCATATTGAGGTCTAGTAGACGTGAAATATCTCGAACTTCAAATAGTGTTACTTTATTTTTGTATAATAAGATGAATATCTGTCCCCCTTTATCACAATATAAAACTTTAGTCTATTTTGCTTTTAATTTCTCTTTTTAGGCACCCCTCTCTCACCTTTTAAAAGTTTAGCTTTATTATCTTTTATTTCTAATCTAATTTTATGCATCAATTCTTTATCACATTTAAATTCAGTTTTTGCAATTTAATACGGAGTATAACTTATATTGTAAATTATAATCTAATCTAATCCAATTATATACGGAGTACAAATATAAGCTTTAATACTACTTTATGTATTACTCCGTAATCCATATTAGGAGACGCACTTAATTTTAGTTTGGTCTAATTTCATAGTCCCAAAAGAACTTTTCAATTTGGCAGGAGGTCGTAATTACTTTTATATATCTCTGGAATCCGGATATGAAGGTTAAGTGTGTGACTGTGTGGGTATGCTGATGCAATATGCAACGATAATTTCCTCATTTTTTTCTTGCTTACTTTACAGGTTTCAGAATGCTTGGATTCGGGATACCATTGTCAGCATTTGCAGCCGTGTTTATTAATCTTGGGCTCAGTAAAAAAACTCGACCGGTAAATATGGCATAATCTATCTTATATTCTTCCGATGATAAAAGTTTGAATTGTCTTGATTCTTAATTTTTGTGTTTTGTTTTTAAGTTTTTGCACTTTAGGAGTAATATATTTTCCCCCTCTAATGGGGAGTAATTGCTAATTTACTATCATGACTCATCATAACAAATAGTGTCAATTATGATTTATGATGTGAGTTTTTGCCATTTTTAGTCTCCGTCTTTGAAATTTTCCATGTTTAGTTCTTCGATTTTCATAAAAGTGACACTTTTGATCCTTCAACTATTATAAACTATTATAATAAAGACATTTTTAGTCCTTCACTTATTGTGCCAAAATCATAGTAAAAGGACTAAAAATGTCAATTTGATAATATTCAGGGACTAAATGTGGGAAACATTGAAGTTAGGGACTCAATGCGCCCCTAGCACAATAGTCGAATACTAAAATTGGAAAAATTAAAAGTGGAGTACCAAAAGTGTCAATAAAACAATAGTTGTAGGACCGAAAATGGCAAAAACTCTATGATACTCCCTCCGTCCCTTATAACTTTGCCAACTTTCCTTTTTTGGATGTCCCATTAACTTTGCCACTTTCCCATTTAAGTAAAGAATTTGTGGTTCCAGTTAATTCTCTCTCCTCTGCACAAACCTCAACCACACAGTTTTTACTTTATTAATCCCCGTGCCGGTCAAACTTGGCAAAGTTATTAGGGACGGAGGGAGTATTAATACTCCCATGACAAGACGGTTTGATTTTAGGATAACAATATTTTAGTCTTTTTTGAGAAAAAAGCATAGTATTGCCCCTGAGTTTTGCAATGTTTTTACTTGTATTTCGGGGAATTTCCCTTTCTTTTGTCTTGGAGTTATAGAGTAAAACCTAAACGATGGTAGATTACCTAAACATTTTATTCTAATGTTGTAGACGTACCAGTTTTAGTTTATGCAATTATGCGTCCTTTAATTTTTACTCTTCAGGTTCATAAAATAGTTAGTCGCGTTTACAAAAGAATTTTCACTTTTCCAACGCTTTCTTTCCCATTTTGAAAAAAAAAATGATTGTTTGTTACTTTTTCCTTGAAAATTGAAACTAAGCAAGAAATTATGGGGTTAACAACTTAACAATATATGCTCTATTGCAGGGGAAAGGCATATCTCTTCTCTTCCCTATTGAGGTTAAAAATATTAAACTTGGGAAGCATACAAGTGATACTGGTGTCTATGATTCAGAAGGAAGGTACACATTACAAACATTTGTTATTAGTTCTATGAACAAATTATATAATTTGACTAAATTTGTAAATGTGTGAAGTTGCAGGATTAAAAATAAGTACATGTATAAAGTATAAACTACGCGTCAAAATTTACAATTTCCTCTATATATGTGTAGATTTTAAAAAATTTGATCAGAATAATTTCAACAAATTTCGCGTTGTATAATTCTAGTTATCATGCAAGTCTAATTACATGGTACGATAGTATTAGAGACGTTTTTTAATTGTACTAAAGTTTTTTAGTTTAGTCTGGTTTGATGTATTTAGATCCGGTGATCTGAACTGACTTGATAGATGGTTGGTCTCTAAGTGTATTTTTAGCTGTCAAAGTCTCATCTAGTTTGAATTAACCCGATTTGATTGTCTAGGCCGGCCTTATTTGATCGAGGTTAGTCCAACTAAAAATATACCTAGTATGTTTAATTTTAGAAGAAAACTGATGATAATAATTCCTATGATTGTGTTCTTCCCAGTCATTCTAATTGTTGCATAATTATTGCGTAGAATATGTTATTTTCAAAAAAAAAAATTGAGTAGAATATGTTATTGTCTATATAGTTCATACTTTCATAAAATCTAAGTTTCATGAAAAATAATTTTTCAATGGCTAGTAGGTCGGTGTTGTGAAGCAGAAAAATAAAATCAACGGGGTGAACCGTTGCCCGATAATCAACGGTAAAAATACCGTTGCCCAGAGCCAAAAGGCTAAACCAACTTTTATTCCAAGATGATCAAGAATGAAGCATACAAGGGGTATAAATAACCCTCTAGGTCTAATAAGAATAGGAATCCTAATTAAATTATTCTAGGAAACTAAATAGAATAGGAAACCTCTAGTTCTAATAGAACTCCTAATTAAATCATTCTAGGAAACTAAATAGAAATAGGAAACCTCTAATTCTAATAAGAATAGAAGTCCTAAATAAATCCTACTAGGAAACAAATTAAATTAGGAAACAAAATAAAAGGAACAATAAATATTAATTAAACAGCCCGCAACCAGCCCACGGAGGTGGGCTCTAGCCCGTCCCGCCTTCGGTAAACCCACGGGGGCTTCTGCCCCTCTTCTTCCAATCCCAAATTCTGCTTCATATCAATTCCATCCCCCTTCGAAAAAACCTTGTCCTCAAGGTTGAAATCCGGAAACCGGCTGACATTTGTTCCCGGTGGCTGCCTAGTATCTTTAGGAAAAATTGAGATGTACTCCTCCATAGTCCCTGACTGCTTGCCTCCGGATAGCCGTTCAAAGCAATTGCCCTTAAACCGTGAGTCAAAACGAGCCACTAATGCTTGTGTAAGCTCATCCCATGACATGCCCGGCTTTCGTGCTCGTAACGAGGTCAACCGGTACAGGGCTGACCCTTCCATCACAACTACAGTGGCTGCCACCTTCTTTCCCGGCGGAGTACAGCTCAGTTCGATTTGATGCTCAGCCCTAGCAACCCAACCGATCGGGTCTTCTCCGTCAAACGAGGGCAGCGTCGTGAGAGAAGTGTTGCACAGTCCAGTTCCGAACGTGGATGTTGCTGCCGCGTCAAGTGAAGCCATATCCGATGAATTCTCCTCCGCCACTGGCGGCGCGAGAGCCTTTGTGAGCGCAGTCAAGGAGGAAGTGACGCTGTGCGGCTGTCCGTCGCTGCTGGGCGCAAATACGGCGGGGCTGCCAACCGCGTCAGGGCTTGTTTCCGTCGTGACTGGCGGAACGAACGCCTTGGTAAGCGCTGCCAGGGATGCGGCGATCTCTGCCAGACGCACGCCGTGCTCCTCTAGGGTTTGATTCATCCGAATTTGCTTGGCCACCATCTCTGACAAATGTTTACTGATAGATCTCGTCATTCCGGCGGGACGGGATCCAGCAGGTCGGACCAATTGTTGTGAAGCAGAAAAATAAAATCAACGGGGTGAACCGTTGCCCGATAATCAACGGTAAAAATACCGTTGCCCAGAGCCAAAAGGCTAAACCAACTTTTATTCCAAGATGATCAAGAATGAAGCATACAAGGGGTATAAATAACCCTCTAGGTCTAATAAGAATAGGAATCCTAATTAAATTATTCTAGGAAACTAAATAGAATAGGAAACCTCTAGTTCTAATAGAACTCCTAATTAAATCATTCTAGGAAACTAAATAGAAATAGGAAACCTCTAATTCTAATAAGAATAGAAGACCTAAATAAATCCTACTAGGAAACAAATTAAATTAGGAAACAAAATAAAAGGAACAATAAATATTAATTAAACAGCCCGCAACCAGCCCACGGAGGTGGGCTCTAGCCCGTCCCGCCTTCGGTAAACCCACGGGGGCTTCTGCCCCTCTTCTTCCAATCCCAAATTCTGCTTCATATCAGTCGGCTATACCTATATATTCATAAAATCTTTTAAATTATTGTATTGATTTCAGTTCCACATTTGATCAAATCGGACTCCTTTTAAACAAATCAATCTAGATTAGAACTTAATGAACTAGACAAGATAAAATTTAAACAATAAAATACACATAGATCATACATTTATTAATGCTTGATAATGATAAGGATAATAGCAATAATTGTTGTTGTGATTGTGTTTTGTAAGTATGACAGAAAAACATATTCATTTAACATTGTTTTATGCCACTAAGGATGTTTTTACTTCGACTCTAATCTATCTCAGACCAGACTTGGATAATTATAAAAATATATAGAAATCAGACCAAACCAGATCAGACAAGACCCAGCAAATTACAGTTCAAGTTAAAAAATTTTAAATTATTGTATTGATTTCAGTTCCACATTTGATCAAATCGGACTCCTTTTAAACAAATCAATCTAGATTAGAACTTAATGAACTAGACAAGATAAAATTTAAACAATAAAATACACATAGATCATACATTTATTAATGCTTGATAATGATAAGGATAATAGCAATAATTGTTGTTGTGATTGTGTTTTGTAAGTATGACAGAAAAACATATTCATTTAACATTGTTTTATGCCACTAAGGATGTTTTTACTTCGACTCTAATCTATCTCAGACCAGACTTGGATAATTATAAAAATATATAGAAATCAGACCAAACCAGATCAGACAAGACCCAGCAAATTACAGTTCAAGTTAAAAAATCCAAAATTAAACAAAAAGGACTAACACCCTATTTCCGAGGGTTTCAGAACTTGATTTGAATACAGAGTAAGTTTTGACTTAAATTGTTCGACTAAATTTTCATACAGCTTACCATGCGTTTTGATATGATGATTATAGGTTTGTTCCAGAAAAATTTGAGGAAATATTCGCTAAATACGCACACTCAAGCAAAAATAGTTTGACATCAAAGGAATTGGATGAAATGCTCAAGGCAAATAGACTGCCAAAGGACTATGCGGGATGGTAAATTCATCTTTGTTATGAATTTTCTCACACGAAATTACTCCGTACTAGTTAATTTCAATATCCTCAAACCAAATTATACATAATTCTTGAAAATGTTCCTAAAAGAAAAAAACTAGTTAATTGCATAACAAACTTTAAGGGAAAATAATTAAAATATCCCAAACTTTATAGGAGTGTGAGATGAGCACCAAAAACTTGCACATGTTATAATTAGGTGCTAAAATACCTTTTTATTGGGATGAAGGTATTATATATAGTGTTATTGTTTTGTTATGTAGGGTTGGTGCATGGGCAGAGTGGAAGGTATTATACTTATTAGCGAAAAACAAGGAGGGAGTTCTGCCCAAAGAAGCTATAAAAGGAGTTTATGATGGGAGCCTCTTCGATACAATTAAGAAAGAGCGTGCGACCAAAAAGCAAGTTTAAATTTTGAGTAAAGTTTTATCTATCAACTTTAATTAGTTATGCATTCTCTTTTTAAGGAATGTATAACTGATTTAAACATTTGTTACAGCCAATTTAGCCCTTTCTTCTTATGTTTACACTAGAGCATGAATTTAATCAAATAAACTTGGGTGGTTAATTTGCTGAATGTTGCAAAAATAATATATGTTGGCTGAATATTGCGAGAAAGGGCTTGCTGGATTCAGCGTTGTTATTTTATTTGTAAAATTGATTCTTTATCCTTTTCAGCGTAAGAACAATTTCACCGCATTGAGATGGATGTCTGTTTGCTTTGCTATATCATCAAATCATTACTGGATGGAGTCTTGAAGGGAGAAAAAGAATTACTGAACTATGTATATTATACCAAGTTCTTTCATAACGTATGATGTAATTATTAGTAAATAAAGGAAATACATATTATTATATTGTGTGATTGGTGGAAGAAGTTATTAAAATGTGGTTAGGAATTATTCTGTTGTGTTTAATTGCATTTATTATCTTTTGTAATACGAAAATCTAACCTTCAATTCAAGTACTCGTATTATTTATGTGAAGGCTAAGCTTCAGTAACCCTAGCGTTGAAAAACTTTGAAAAATGTTGAAAGAATTAACAAAAATGTCTCGGCCGTTTCACGGTAGCATTGAGTAGCCGATCTGTAGTCCTTCATATTTATCGTACGAGTATTTAGGGTCGGTTTGCAACTACTTTTAAAAAAGCACTTCTCAGCTTTTGGCTTTAAAAAAACACTTATTTTTCCAAACACTACAACATTTATTTTTCTCGGCTTCCGCGTCTTTTTCTATTACACAAAAAGCACTTATTTTACCAAACACTATTCACTTTTACTTTTCAAACACTATCAACTTTTATTTAATCACTTCTCCTTATTTCATTAAAAAAACATTTTTTTAAAAGCAGAAACGGTTGCAAATAAACCCTTAATAACGCTCAATTCTGCTCACCTACTCTCTATTGTAACCTACTCTCTATTGTATATTTATCTGATTGTCATGATAAATCGAACCCACAATTTATGTCAGAGGCTCACTGGCTCAGAGCCATTGTTGGACCAGGAAATCCACCTCAATAAATTGACCCACATCTCTTAGACTTAAGAGAGTTAAAGTCCAAGTGCACAAAAAGAACATGGGAATGGATAAACATGGGAGGAAAAAGGAGAATAAGTAACCGCATGCGAGCAAATAGGGAAGCTGCTACTTTGCCGGTTAGTAGATTCAACAATAAGGCAAATAAGGGACGAATTTCAGCTTAAATAGAAAGGCAGATTGTAGAAATAGGGAGGATCCATTTTAGATCAATTCATCTTTTTGCTATTGTACTCAAGCTCATAAACTTACTGATTCATAGGAATTAATTCATTTATTAAATTTCCATTGTATTATCTTTTGCACGATTCCCCCTTTTGATTATATCATTTAGACCAGATCAAATCTTGCTTAAACAATTTGGCGCCAACCGTGGGGCATCGTGCAAGAGAAAGATCAATTATGGCAGGAACAAATCAATTGTTGATTGAATTTCATGAACAACTAGAAACGGCAAAAGAGGAAATCCGACATGAGATGGCGGAATGAATGCCCCACCTTCAACGGGAGATGACGTTCTTCGTTCATAGGTGCAGTCAGTAGTGTCGATAGCTTCAAACTCAATGATTAACTGGAGGAGTGACGCCAGGACTGTCGCCACGAGATTGGATCTTGGTTTCACCCCGATGGCGACAGATCCGCCTGCAACGACGACGGATCACGTCTCCCTCACACTAGGCCTGTCACCAACCGGAGAACCTCAATCAACGGTCACCTCACAGGTCATCCCTTATACACCTCTTGTCCCGGAGACAACGTCGGTCCCCAGCATCCCGACTTGTTACTTCCCGGAGTCCCTTCGAGTCAGATCTAGGGGGACAGGTATGTACTCAGCCACTCATAGCATGTCGGCGATGACTACAATCTCCGCTCTGTCAGATCCCACTACTCTACACTTCAAGAGCAGGACCTACGGAAATCCGGCCCCGTCCAGTTTCATGCAGGACGCTAGGCGTAATTGACTGAACGAATCATTGCATGAGTCCCACGCAGGACGTCCTCATAGACCCGTCACCTCGTCAGATCCAAATCTGATAAGGCAACGCCCAGATGTGATCATCATCTCGTCACCAACCAGGCCAAAGACCACCCAAATGGCCAGACCTACAGTTTCAACGGCGAGACCAATTCAACCAGGCATGACGGACCAAATGTCAATGATAATGGACCAGATACGACAAATGCAGGAGAGAATCAATGCAATTCGTGGAGTTCCTCCTCCACTTGACATAACGTCTCAAACGTGCTATGAAGATTCACCTTTTGATGGTTCGATCATGTTTGTTGAACTGCCAAATTAATTTGACGTACCAACCATGGAGCCATTTGATGGAACCACAGATCCTAGAGAACATGTCGCGCGATATAAACAAATGATGTTGACCGTCTCTGTTAGTCCTGAACAGAGAGAGGCTTGTATATGTTGGGGATTCGGCATGACATTGACTGGTACTGCTTTGACATGGTTCGTGAATCTTCCGAATGGGAGCGTCAGTTCGTTTGCTGAACTCGTCAATCTTTTCAATCGAAAGTTCGCGAGCAGTAAGGTATTGGAAAGACGGACCAGTGACTTGTATCAAGTCACACCGAGGCATGGTGAATCACTTGGAGATTATTTGCACATATTCAACAAAAGGAAGGTGTCGATCTCAAAATTGGCTGGAAATACAAAAATTGTTTGTGTTTAAATAACTCTATTCATGTAAACCGAGAATGTGTGGGAACGATTTAAAGAAAAGATGTATTACCTCTGTCCCTTAAAACTTTGTCAAGTTTGATCGGCACGAGATTAATAAAGTAAAAACTATGTGGTTGAGGTTTGTGTATAGAAGAAAGAATTAACTGGAACCACAAATTATTTACTTAGAGCATCTCCAATGCTACAATGTGCACGGTGCACGTGTGGTATGAGAGAGATAGACACAAAAAATTGAATTTATGACATTTCTCTCTCATTCTTTCCACAGTTTTATGTGTTTTTGGTAAGTTTTCCTCTGCAATGCCAAGCACAATGTCTACTTCTAGACTTTGTGCTTGACATTGTGAAGAAAAACTTACTAAAATGATATAAGATCATTCAAATAAGGAGAGAAATATTCTATTTATTATTTTTTTAATTGACTATCTCTCATTCCACCTATGCACCGTTTATGTTTTAGCATTGTAGATACTTTTAAAAGGAAAAGTGACAAAGTTAGTGGAACATCGAAAAAGAAAAATTGATAAAGTTTTAAAGGAGAGAAGAAGTACAATTAACATTTTTGTTTTATCAAATAGACCCATCATGTGAGAATGGACCAACAGTGGACCTAAATTGGAAAAACCGAAAAACTTCAAAATCAAAATATGGCCAAGAGAGTACAGCATAAGACAAGACAACAATAATAATAACCCAAAACAAGAAGCAACAAGAATCCCCTTGTCCCCACAATTCAGTCAAAGCAAGTAGAGGATCGATCCAGTTGTCCCCATAGAGGGGATGCGGAAGTGGTGATGGAGAAAGCAGAGCAAGAGTTAGAGAGGAGAAGCAAGTTCCTGAACACCCTGATACTGAGGAAGAAGGCCGTGGAGGAGCAGAAGAACCAGCCGCCGCCGCCGCCGCAGAATGAGCTCCGTAATCTCCGCGTGAGGGCCTCTGACATGCCCTTAGCTCTTCAGAACAGAGCTTTTAGGTGCGCTAAGAACTGCCTTGACTCCATGCCCTCTCCCAAGCTTGACAGCAAACGCCTCGCCCTTGCTCTCAAGAAGGTAATCCACCTGCCTTGTCATTTTTGATTGATTTTGCCCCGTTTTTATCAGAAACATTTTTACTCCCAGTTCACTGCCCTTTTTACCAGAAAGATCGATTCTTTTCTGCAAAGGGCTCAAATTCGTCAATGGTAGAGTCATGTTTGTGCAGAATTTGCTTGATCTGAGATGTCCTTGCTTTCTTTTCTTCTACCTTATCAAGGCTAGGGTTTCTATCGGAAACTCACAAGAACAGTTGCTCTGTGCCTCAGATGTTGGTTTATATTGTTGCATTAGATGGCATTGTACATTGAGGTCATTGACTTCCTGATCACTCTGGCAATTTGGTAGAAAAGATACCATGAAAAAGAAGAGCTTTACATTCATTTTTTTGAGACTAACAGATCATAACAAATGTTATTATTTGTGTTGTGCCAAAAGTAAAAGGAGACCTTTCCGGGGTTGCAGCTAGATTACATTGTGGGAAATCAGTGTTTGCACCCACTTCTTCTTCCAAGTTTGAGTTTGTACCCCATTTTTCAAATCATTAATATTTGTACTTCAGAAGTGAGAATTTGCACCCTACTTTATTAACAGATTTTTCTAACTTTAGGGTGTGCATATATTAATGATTTAAAAAATGAGATTCACACTAAAATTTGGGTTGGATGGTGGGGTACATTGTGCTCAGCTACATTTGCCTCTGTATTCATTATGCAATGAGTATATTTGTGTACTTGGTAATGATTGTTGAGAGTTGGACACCACTAAAAACAGCTAGCCTTTTTTATACTCTTAATGATTTGTAGTGTTCCCCCACGTTTCGGAAAGTTACATTCAAGAAACGTGGATTCTCTAACCGTCCGTAGTGTTGATACACCATAGCTTTGGTGTGTGTGTGTGTACATGTATATATCACTCGATTTTAGTTGTTTCAAGAATTGTAAAAGTTTGGTCAGGTCTTCTCTAGTTGTTTGAAGATATATATAGTATGTGGCAGTGTTATCTTTTGGGAAATCATTAACCATCTATACTCCATCTTATTTATTTTATTCTTAATCTTATTGATGATCTCCTGGCTGGAGCATGTGTTTCAGATAATGCAACCCCCCCCCCCCCCCCCCCCCCCCGTAAATGATTGAAACTTTGGTTTGGTTAACTACAGGAATTCGACTCAGCTTACGGTCCAGCTTGGCATTGCATTGTGGGAACAAGCTTTGGGTCATATGTAACACACTCAATGGGAGGCTTTTTGTACTTCTCCATTGACAAGGTTTATGTTCTTCTTTTTAAAACTGCTGTAAAGCCTTTGAACAAATAAATGATGATTCCTATTACATCTCCTGTTATTTTGGACCGTTTTTCTGGGGAGCGAACTCCTGTTAAGCTAGTCCTGATCTTGAAAAGTTACAAGAATGGAGAAATGAACTGTGGAAACTAATGGCTGCACTGGGTTCTTAGATTTTGTTCATATATATTGTAGCTAGCGTGTTGCATTGCCACATACTGTTTGTCACATGTTTTCGTTCTAGCGTTTCCTACAATGTCTTGTACCTTAGAGTATAAATGTTAATACACAAATGCAATTTGAATGCACAATTCTTTTTTCATGGGCGGTGTGCCAAAAGTCTTCATCGCAAACACCAATGGGACACAAAGATGATTAAAACTTGCACTTCAGCTCCAAAGATCGCACCTGCATAAGGTGATGTTGTGTGCCTAGGGGTGGACCCAGCCA